CAGTACCTATCCAGCGAGAGCATGCAAACAAAAACTGAAACAGAGGATGTAGGAGACCTACCCATAACGGCAAAGAGAGACCACCGATACCACTGGAGGTCCTTTTTGAGCCGCAGCAGACTGATGGCCATGGATACTCTCAGCAAGCCCATGGCAAAACCGTCCGAGAAAACCGTCTTCCAGAAGGTAATCTCCTCGAACTTTATCCTATCCTCAACTGGCACCACCAGGCCGTGGCGGCCGAGACCGTAAGGTATTTGAAGGACCAAGCAGATCCATGACATGAGCGCAAGAGCCTGGTTTTGTTTTGGTAGAGTTAGTAAATCGATAGCCACTAGCCAGGCGATAATTCTTACACAAGCCATCAGAATCAGCGCATCGTCGACTCCGAACGCCCTGACCATGAACACTCGGACGTAGAGCCTCAAGGAGACAAAGATCAGGGCGACAAAGTGGAAAAAGCCCACTATCCCCACGATCCGGCCCGCATTGCTCGCGCTGACATACTCTGGCGGGAAAGTGGAGGGATCTGGCGGTGGGAGAGAGGGATCCATGGTGTTGGATTCGGAGTCTCGCGGTCGAGAAAGGCGGACACGGCGGGTATGGGGATCACCACAACCGCTGCTCAAACATGGTGCCCGGTTTTCCCAACACCAACTGCAAACTATCGTCCGGCGGCATGGTGCCCAGCGGTGGGTCCGACGGGATTTTAAAGCGCGGTGGCCCTTTTCTCTCCAGTTCGACAAGCACGAAGAACCTGCTGACATGTGAGACAGCGCTGGGGGATTTTCTTCCGACTGATACCTCGTTCGGTGCCCACTTGCTCGATACAGGATAGATCTCGAATCCTGGCGCAGTAGCGCCTAGACCTCTGCAGGGGGGATCGTTGACGACTCGGCGGCACGCTTCGGGTTACATTCGATAGGACATTGACAACCATGGACGCCCAAAACGGGCACATCGCCTTCTTTCTTGGGAGCACTCGCTTCGGCACCCATCCTGGTTTGCACGTTGTGTCGTCGTGGCTGCCGGAAGCGAGATCTCTCGCATGATTCCATCGGGCTGCTTTGCCTCCTCTCGGGTTTCGCACCGAAACCAGGGTGACGACTTGGGGAAAACAGTGGGTTGTTTGGACATGGCACGAGCTGTTAGTGGCGAATGGGAAGTTTCTGCGAGCACGTTCGGAGCTCCTCGTCGAATTACCCGGCTCGCCCAGCACTCTGAGCGTCTCCCCCTTCTGCTGCCAGGGGTATGTCCCGGTTTTCGGGAATACCGGCCAAGCCAGTGAGATCCGTCCGCTCGGAGTTTCACGCAACCCGGTCGCCGCGTGTGAGCCATGGACGAGAAACTTGCCTGCAACAAGGGTCTCAGTTCGGAACCGAGTGTATTTACATGGGTTTGGTCTGTGCAACACCAAGGCAAAAACATAGCTAGAAGTTTTATGTTTTGTAACAGGGATAGTCGTGTTCTTTATATGTCCTCA